AAGGCCCAGAGTTTGAAACCACTAGCCACTCCTCGAGAGAAAGACAGAGCTGTCTTAGAACAGCTACGGTTGCAGTCTCGGAAACACAGGGGCAGTTCCACCCTGTCCTATGGAGGGTCACTATGAGTCGGAAGGGACCGATGGCTGTGAGTTCTTGGTTTAGGATTGACGTGGGCCTTCGGGAGGGGAGAAATTCACGGTGTTCATCTTTGGAGGTGATGTCTCTCGCATGTACAACATTGTGAACTTGAACCTGCAGTCTCACCAGGCCTTAGGGCTTAAAAACTTTCAGACTCTCATCTCTCGGGCGGTGACACCCAGCTATAAAGACAGGACATTTAACTGCCACCAAGAATTTGGATAATGTGGAGAAAGGTACCTTCAGATGCTGGTTCACCAGCACAACCCCCAAATGCCCACCACCTTTGTAAACCGTCTTGCTCTCCTCTGGTTTGAGGCTCAGAACCAGGCCTTCTCCACGCCACTGGAAGCGGTTGCATCTAGTAACAGTGCCGTGAAACGGCAGCCGTCTACCGGGTCTCCACCGCACTGTGGGTTAAGTGAGTTTTAAGGGTCTTCCGGCCCAAAGCAGCTTTAGTCCGGAGGGAAATGCATCGCAAGGTCTGAATGGACTTGGGAAGCCCAGCCACTTTTTCGCCCTGATTCTGGCAGCTCTACAGACTGAGGGGGTCTCGGAGGTAGTGAGACCCCCAGAGGGAAGGAGGAATCATAGCATACAGCTGGGGTGTGTGGATGGCCTTTGCTTTTTGAGGCAGCATGGGACCTGGGCGAGTTCTCAAACACAGGTCGTCTATCCCACCCTTTTCTCAACGTCCCGGACCAGGTTTTCCTCTGCTCCAGAAGCCCTCGGGAGAGTTTCTGTGTGGTCCCGGGGCAGGCCGTTGAGGACCAGTCGGTGGAGTCTCATGCATGTGGGTTTGGGAGTGCCCTTGCTCGTGTGAGTTCTGTAGTTCAGGTGGTTGGCCTGCATTTCCCGCCCGCCCAAGTTGCAGGCCAGCAGTCTTTTGAGTCTATGAAGATCTCTACAGCTGCAAATTGTGGAAACAGCCCCCCCCCCCCAGCACACCCCCGACTCACTTTAACGTAAACCTCTTGTTGCTGTCGGGGCAGCTTCTGGCTCCTGGCAGTCTGATTTACAGAGAAGAGCCATTCCCTCGAGTTTCCTTGGGGAGCTGTTGCTTGGTGGGACCAGGGCTGTCTTCAAAGGAGTCACCGGATGGCTTGCCATCACCCCCAGCTTCTCTGCTACTGGCCGAGAGCAGAGCATGTTGTCACTCAGGGACCCGTGGCTCACAAACCTTGGCTGAGTCACCTGACTCCTGGTTCCCGGTCCCAGCCCTTCTAATGCAGGAAATCTGGGGCTGGGCTTGGGGACCGTGCACTTCTGACACATTCTCAGAGGTGCTGATGCTGCAGGCGCTGGGAGCGCGCTTTGAGACCCTACGTGGTTTATCTCACCTCATGGGGGGTTGAAGGAGCCCTGGTGATGTAGAGAGTTCAGTGCCAGGCTGCTCACCACCAGGTCAGCAGTTCAAACCCACCAGCTGCTCTGCAGGAGGAAAATAAGACTATCTGCCCCCCTTGTGATTGACAGTCTCAGACACCCAGCTCCAAGTTATCCTAGGAGGCCCCTGTGAATCAGAGTGAACCCAAGGGTCGTGGGTTTGGGTTTAAGTTTAATGAGAAGTCTGGCAGCAGGTGGCTCCTGGTGAGTGAATTCCTCTCCTGGGTGACTTCACCCAGGCATTCCTTGCAGCTCCTTCCTCTGCCACCCTCTGTGCCTCAGCCCCGTCCTGGATGGGCCTCTGGGTGGGTTTGAACCACCAACCTTTATGGTGACTGTGTTAGACAGGGTTCTCTAGAGAGATAAAACCAATTGCTGATAATTAAATATATTTATTTATAAATATAATTAGATATATAACAAGAA